CAAGCAGTGGGGAGGGGGACTAGTACCCATAGCCTAAGGGGAAAGCAGAGAGAAGCCTAATGATTCATCAGTTAAGCACTCGGGTGCTCCTTCCCTCCCAAGTAGGGCTTCATGTGAGCTGTATTCTCTGGAAAGGCTTATCTTCTCTCCCCCTCCTGGCAATCAAAGGGCTTTGGGAGCTAGGAGTGGCTCCCAGCAGCAGCTATGTTAGAGCTGCTATGTTATCCATTAATCGTTTAACCACCGATATAATTGGAGGATGTTAAACGAATATTTTTTTTAAAGGATATTTACATCCCTGGTACAGGATGTTTCGAGTATTTCATTGTTTATATATTCAATTGAGAAAACAGAAGAGCATGTGTAGCAGTGCAGATCCTACAGCTCACTGTAATTTGTAGTTGTGATTTAGGTGTGAAAAGGGGGGAAAAGTCGCCCATAATTGCTGAACTTTTATAAAAGACTGAAAGAAGTTTGGTTGATATTTGAAAATCTATATTTCCTGTTTCATGTAAGAAATCAGGCTGGATAAAAGAACTCTGGCAGGTGTTCATACTCAAAAGAATAACAATAGAATCCTTCCAAGCAAAAAGGCATTATTTCAATTAGCTGTTTGACACTTCAGTCCTGCGGTGATAGTAAAGGAACACTGAATCACTTTTCCAGCATGAGAAGATAATGTAATGCTTGAAGCTGAAGCTTGCAGAATCCCAGCATAAAGGAAGCAGAGCTATGAGAGAACTGCTACTGACAGTATAGAGCAAAATTGTGCATGTAAGGTGTAGTAAACATATGCATGGTGGATGTGGGAAGACCTTAATGTAGTGACCCACAAACCATAGTGCCTATACATTTTTTCCATTGAATTTGGCAAGTTTTCTTTTGGGTTTGCAGAATGAGTAAGTAACATGCAGTTAAAAGAACAAATGCATGCAAATAAGATAGATGAATATTGAATTACAACATTCCTTTTAATCTGACATTTGAAGTGGGCAATACGATCTGAATTGTTCTCAATTTATTCTCTGGACTATTAAAAACAAACAAAAAAACAAAAACTAGACAACTCTCCTGTTCAGGCTTCCTTATTTTGTTGGTTTTGAGATCTCTGTCATGCTTGTGGACAGCACAGTGCTTCCAGGTAGGCATAATGTCTAGTACCTCTTTTTCTTTTTTGATTTCTGGCAAATGTATACATCCATATAATCGACAGTCTGTACCACTTATCTATGTCTGTATGTTAGAGAGTTGCTTGGTAGTTTCCAGCTCCGGTACCAGCACCAGCAGCAGAAACTGTCATCATTGATATGGTATAGGAGAGCACAATGTGGATATCAGCCCTTATTTAATGTTTGTTTGTTAAGGGCAGTAAGTAAAATGCACATAAGGAAGCTCTACTGGTAATAGGTGCCATAACTGAGGGGGAGATGGGGGATGAAGACAAAATATTCCCTCAGTCCCCATACCCAATAAAACTTTAGAATGTAACTACCATCATCCACCATAATCAAAATAGTCTTTGCAGAGCAAGTTTAAAAAAAAAAAAGCCTAAAACCTGCCTGTCTGCTGCTAAAATTTTAGCAGATGAGTCAGTTTCAGATCCCACCTATTCCTAACACTGCTGTAATGGAGGATCTCCAAATCTGCTGTAATGGATAATGTGGGGACGCTGAATACATGAGACTCTCCAAAGTAGACATGGGGAGGATGTGGTTCAGTTACTGTATCTGTGGGCTGTCGGTCATGGCCATCACAAATACAGACACATGAAAAAATATATTCTTTGGAGCTGGGGTCTCTGCCCTGATCTTACTTTAACTTTTTTGGCTAGATAAACCTAGAGAGAAAAGCAGCTGAGCAGCAAACCAACTTTAAGCTCAGCAAAGATGCATTTAAAAAAAAAAAGGGACTGCCTTACCAGCATATAGTAATTAAGTGGCTGAAGTAGAGTGCGTACTAGAACTAAAAATCAGTTTCCTGAATCTCAAACTCGAGTTTAAAAATTTACTGTAAATTTTATAATGTAGGGATGTGGCCTTTTAATTAGATAATGTGGGGACGCTGAGTACATGAGATGGGGCAGCAGGCTAGAGCATTCCAATTAGAACGCTCCAACAGACTCGATTAATCAAGTCTTCTCCGATGCATTCTAATCAGGACACATCAGAGGATGTGTAGAAGTGCCCTCAGTCACTAATGCAGTGAACTCCTAACTACAATACAGGTTTCCCTCACTATATGCTGTACATACGTTACTGGAAAATGGCGCATAACTCAAATTCACATAAAGGGAACCCACTCTACAATGTAACAAATAGGGTTACGTTCCTCGACTGTACTGACCTCCAGACTCATTTCTACCACTTTTACAAGACAGTTTTGGTACTCATTAACAGCACAGTACACACAAGCACAGGGCACTATCAATAATGGAGATGGCAACTACAGAAACATGTTGCAGTGAGCACAGATCCACACAGGAGACTATATTTTGGTGTGCGTCACTCTCACAATGCAGTGCACAAAGCAGGTGACTGCGGGCTTCTACCACACCAGTCACATAAGAGTGAATTTACCTCGCATATAACGAATTTGTGGTATAAAAAGGGTAGTCGCATAAGAGCGAATTCACACATACAGAACCTGCATAAAGTAAGGGAAACCTGTAGTTGAAAACCTCTTCCAGGGCCTGGCCAGACATAACATGTGCAGTTCTTCAGGTGCCTTTTAAGTTCTTTGAAAGGTTAGCAGACATACACGTGTCCCCTATGAAGTGCTCCAGAAATAGCCCTGGATGAAGGGACAGTTGTTTGAAAGAGTTTCATTTATATAGTAATTCTGCATAATAGTAACAATAATAGTAATTTTTTTTTCCTTTAACATTTATTCAGTTTGTTACCCTGATTGTTTAGTTCTTTTTTTCCCACTCTGTTTACTATTGATAATTAATTATCAGATTTATGCATAAAGAAGTATTGGACGTGAACTGAAAAGTTGATAGACTGCAGTGTAGTCAGTGTTCTTTCCTTTCTTTGCATGTGCAATGTAGGCCTCAATTGTGTACTGAAAAAAGTCACATAATAGTGAGTTATGAATCCACTACTTTCATCTGGTACTGGATGCGCGAGATAGAAATGTTCTTATAAGTAGTACGTTCTGAGACCTTAACAATTCTACTTGGCATGCCTCAGAAAACTGCATTTGCTTTTACAAACGCACTAAACCATTTTCATTCAGTTTTACATTCTGCAGGGCAGCTATTTCACACCTGTTGGCAGGGCTTCCAAGACTTAAGCTTTCTATATGTGATGCAAGAAATTGAGACCTGTAACCAGGGCCTTTAAGTTTTCCATGTTTTTTAAAGGCTTCTTGTCTGTCTGAATACCTTACTAGGACCATCTGGATTTTTTAATTTTTCATTTTTTATTTGATTACAGCTTTGGAGACACTTGAGTCATTCATACTTGGCAATAAGTCATACGGGCGTCACATTTTCCTGTATATATTTAAACGAATAATTCAACTCTATTAAATCAGTTTGCTTAACAGAATCCATTTCTCAAAAACAGTGTGGTTTTGGGTAATACTCTCAGCCCTCATGTTTATATGTGCAGACTTCATGTGTTCATCAGTAGTACTTGCATCATTCTGAGACGGTAACATTTTCCTAGCAGGCTTTCAACTTAGTTTAAGATAAAATGATACATTCCAAGAAAATTAATTCTCAAACAATAGGTAACTGCGTAGCTTGAATTAGAAAACAAACCATTAGGAAAAATTGAAGGCACAGTGTATTTGAATTGCATCAATACCTTGTGATGGCTCTAAATAACCACATACATTTCTTGCCCTATCAGTACAGAGGTTTTTCATCTGAATTATCTTTGGAGAGAAACTGTGGCGCAGTTCCATTGTAGTTCTTACGGTTCAATGTGCTTTGAACAGATTTATTTTTAATATTTATAACCACCATACAGAGTAAGCTATCACTTCTTTTTTTTCCCTTTTCTTTTTTTGTATACTTTGCAGTTTAAAATAGTACTGCCTAAGGAAAGGTGACTACTAATGCAGTAGGGTAGAGGTGATAAACTTGCACCATGCCCCAGACTCCAAGGCTCCTCATAGGCTGGATCCATGAGCAAGCAGTGGGCCTGGCGGCAGCAGGGCTGGAGGTGGAAGTAGCAAGGGCCAGTGATGAAGGCAGTGGGGCAAGCAACTGAATGACACAGGACAGGTGGGGTTGTGACAGGACAACTCCTACTCACCCTTGCTCCTGCTGCCAAGGGTCGTCATATCCAGCAGGACCCTGGGCCTGGAGTCCATGGCAGGCCCTGCACCCTACGTTCCCTGGCCCCCCAGTAGCCTCGTGGACTGGATGGAACAATTCTGCACCCATGCAGTAGAAAATAGATCTGAATTTGTTTTGCCTTACAACTTTTATTTTGTAAGTATTTCTGCAGTTCTATAAACATGTACTCCCTTAGGAAGACCACTTGTGTCACAATCTGCTATGGCCGTTTTTTCCACCCAGAGTCTTTCTTTAATTTTCTCAGGTTCTGTTTTGAAAGGGGACTGTTTCTTCTGCTTTCAGGCTCATCTGCTGCTGGTGATCCCATATGGTCTGGCCATTCTCCGCCCCCACATCAAGAAAACTGGGTCAGTTTTGCAGATACCCCACCAACCAGTACTCTTTTAGCCATGCATCCTGCTTCTGTCCAGGTGTGACATTTTATTGGTATTCGTTTGATTTGCTTCATTCAAATTAGTGTTGCAATCCATCTTTTCCATACTTTCACTGCAGACTCATGCTGTGGATCATATTCACTATGTGGAGATAAGAAATCTGTTCTCTTTCCTATTTACCTACAACGAATACTTTGGCTTCGTTGAGTTACATGCTAACTCTTTTTACCTAGGAAAACTTTAATTGAAAATTTGGTAACTTTTGAAGAACTAAACTTCAAAAAAAAAAAAAAAATTAAATCGGGAGTATTTGTGCTTAGCTTTCTCTGCATAGACCTCCATACCTTTTTGTTGCTTACATATCTGTAGCCACTTCTACCCATTTATGTGTGGAAAATGCATCTAGCTTGATGGTCCTAAATATGCAATCTGCCAACAGCTTCTTGCAACATATGGTTTCAGCAGCATATAACCATGTTTTACTTTTTGGAAGGCAAGTAGTTTAGAAATAATGGCAATCCATTCATTGGTCATTTTAGATAGATAATACTGAGGAAAAAATGTTTCGTTACAGGATCAGACAACAGTACGAACTGTAGCATCAGCTACAACTGCAAATGAAATTCGTAGGCAATCGAGTAGTTATGATGATCCCTGGAAAATAACTGATGAACAAAGGCAGTATTATGTAAATCAGTTTAAAACCATTCAACCTGATCTAAATGGATTTATTCCAGGTGAGTTCTTTAAAACAATTATAGGTACGGCAGTTCTGTATTTATAAAGGTAACTTCTTGGTGGATATGGATTTATTATATTATTTTGTAAGAAGGCCCTGAATTTACTAAATTTTTGGTACAGCACAACTTCAGTGGATTTAAAAACTGGATCTTGAACTCAATTTGTATGCAAGCTTAACTCCTTTAATTAGTACAGTTCTCTTGTTTTAATTGATTTTATTATATAATTTGAGATCTTTAGTTCTGTAAGGATGGAATAAATATTAAACAAAACTGTTTTAATATTCCAGGGTCTGCAGCTAAAGAATTTTTTACCAAATCAAAACTACCTATTCTTGAACTTTCTCACATTTGGTAAGTGTGAAGTGTCACTAGTGGAGGTGGCTATTTTGAAGAACCACGATCTATTTCATGTTAGACCTGAACTCTGACAGGTCTTTTTCTCCTCCTTTTAAAAAAATGTCACTCATACCAAATATTACTGCTATGAGGCTCAATCCTATTCCAGTTTAAGACAGATTTTGCATTTTCCATGGATTTCAATGTAATTCTGGGACTGTATCCCTTCTTACCATAGAGCTAGAGTTGACAGAACAGTATTAAGTGTTCACACAACTAAATATCTGGTTTGAAATCGCATGGATTAAGGTAGATATTGCTTATGCATGTTTCATTTAGTTACACATGCTTCTGGGTAAATTTGTGATAAAAGTCCTACTGACTTAAACACAATGCTTACCCTTCATTTCAACCTGGAATGATTGCCACACTGTTAGACATGATCATTTAAATGACTTGTCTGGAACAGATTTGGTCTCCTTCATAATTGTTCAGACAAATTAAATTTTGGATTCCAGTTTATAACTGTTTCCCCATTAAATGAAATATTTCAATTGCCACATACCTGTGGTACATAGAAGCTGAACAAAATTGCTTCTGTATACTCTGCTTCTAGCTTGGTGCTAATAGCATTGTGCAGAACAGCTGAAAACAGAGAGAGAGAACCAAAGGGCTAGGCAATGTAAGCGTAAATGAGTTAAGCCTAGTCATTAACTTTGAGCCATGTCATTAATAAGGGCTTATTTTTGTTAAAGAGCATTCAATGCCTAGTACTGTAGGTGTGTGAAGTACAAACATGGTAAATGGACCTATAAAACATAATCATTTAATGGTCCTCCAGACAGGGGAACAAAAGTGCATACACTTAAAATGGCCCAGAGAGGAATTTGATTTTATTTATAGTAAGTTTTCCTTCTAGGGAACTGTCAGATTTTGATAAAGATGGCGCATTGACACTGGATGAGTTCTGTGCTGCTTTTCATCTGGTAGTTGCTAGGAAGAATGGCTATGACTTGCCTGAAAAACTACCTGAAAGTTTAATGCCCAAACTGATTGATTTGGAAGATTCAGCAGGTAAGATGTGTTGCTAAAGAGAACCTTTGTGTGTCCAGGTGAAAGTACAATTAAGGTTACAGAAATAATAGCAAGTATTTGCAGGTTTATCAAATAGACTTACTAGAATGTTTTAACTATTTTGTGCTGTTATATTAAAAAGCCCACTCTCTGAATAACGGACCATGTTTAGGATAGAATATTCCGAGTGCATTTATGGTTTAGGACCCAGAGTTCAATTTTTAAAAATGTTGCAGATATTTGGGAGTTTTGAAGCTTGCGGTACCTGGAGTTCTGCAGGTATAACTGTATGGACACTTTATAACAAAGTAACTGTGGTGTTCAGGTTCTTGAAGGTGACTTAAGCTAAAAAAGGAAAAATGTCCACATACAAGGTTGTTGAGGAATAGCTTTTGTGATGTAATCTGAATTAGTTTTCAGAAGTTTAGATGAGCACGAAGTCTCTCAATTTGAAAAAAATGGGACTTGCACCCATAAGTCTTGTAGATACTTTGGAAATTTTCCTAGAACCAGTATGAGGGGAGAAGGAGTAGTTTTGGAGTTAAAGCACAGGACAAAGTGTAAGGAGATCCAAATTCTGTTCCTGGCTTTGCCACAGTGGTAAGCCACTTAATCATTATGTGCCTGTTTTCCTACCCATAGAATGGACTGCTTACTTGGCAGAAATGTGATGAGTCTGTTCATTAATATTTGTAAAACACTCGGATATCATTGAGTGGAAAGTGTAAAAGTAAAAAATGGTTTTGTGCCCATTTTTGCCTACTTTATGCTGTATAAAGAAGGCCCGATTTATATTCTAAAATTTTACTTTAGAAATAGCAAGCTTGCCTTGAATGTTGCTTTCTTTTGTTTGTTTGTGTTTTGTTTTGATGGAGGACTTTATTTAACAGGTTAAGGACTATGGAGTTGACTTGAAATTTAATATGTTTCATCTGAGTCTGAAAATGCTTACTAAAATGGAAATTATTACTCACATTCTATAGATGAGGAAACTGAAAACCATGGTCCATATAGAGTAAGCAGTGACACCTAAGTCTGCTTCCTTGCCCGCCCCCCCCTTTGGACCATGCTGTTTCCCACTGTAGAAGTGCCAAAAAATGGATTGGGAATTTTCTCACCCCTTATTTGAGGTGCTATTTTATTGAATTTTTAATAGTTTTTGCCCTTACAACTGCTGTTACTATATCCAAAGAATTTGTTAAATCCTGAGAGGAAATGTTTCAAGCATACTGCCTCCTTACTAGTGACTTGTCCTCATAGCTTACCAGTTTGTTATTCTTCACAAAAATAGATGAGATTTAGCAGTTAAAGCCTTTCAAGCCACCTTTTATAAGTCCTAAAGAATTAAAAAGGATATTGACTTAATTTTTATTTCTTAATAGTATTCGTTATGCTGTAGCCATAATGATCTAGGGGTATGCAAGAGGCAAGCATTTCTTAGGGTGCTACCTTTTATTGGACCAACTGTATAGCTGGGATAGAGCAACACAAGTGAATTGTCTGGCTCTATCCCAACTGTGCAGTTGATCCAATAAAAGATCACCCTAAGAAGTCCTTGCCCCTCATAATTTCTGAACCACTCTAGCTACAACATCACTCTAGCAATACCATAACATCCAAGATATCGCAATCCACATCTTAGAATGGAAAATCCACAACCTAAAGAAAAAAGAAACTAAACTATACAGCAATATCTTTCTAAGCCTATGCAAGAAACATAAGAAAGACCTGATGAACATTTTGCATTTGAAAGCTTGCCTAGCTCTATCCTAACTATGCAGTTGGTTCAACAAAAGGTACCACTCTTATTGGACCAGCTGTGGAAAAATCCTTACCTCTTGCATACTTCTTAATAGTCCATTTAAATGACTGTAGCAAATTTCACTTTGGCTATCTTTGCTTTAGGAAGTAAATTTAACAATTGGATTGGAATACTGTTTTCCTTAGTGCATCTAAATGGCAGTTTTTATCCTTGTAAGTGGCATTTTTGGTACTTACACCCACATTGTAGTTGTTTCCCTTGGACTGTGAATGTGTAAGCTTGTGCACTTAGCCTATGGTGCATGCTCAGCCTATTCACTAGCTGGGTGGGGCGACAGTTGTGGAGAAGGGGAACCATGCCCCATTTTAGCCCCAGCAGTTGAGTAGTTGGGGCACTCCCCCAAGGAACTAGAGATTTCAGATTCAAGGACCCACTCACCCAGAAGGGATCTGAATATGCATCTCTGACTTTTTGTGCTTCCTTTGAAGTTGGCTCCCTATGTAGTGGAAAGAGAGAAATGGGGCTGGGAAGTTTTTTGTCTTGTGACTTTTAAGTGCAAGCAGCAGTAGCTCCAGGTCAAGAGGTCCGGAGAGGGGACTGGATAATACCCAACTTGTAGTTTGGTAGTTAGAGCACTGTGCTGGAAAGACAGAGCTTAACTGCCAGCCCCTTTTAGTAAGGTGGGCTTAGAACCTGGGGGCACCTATAAGCATGTCGGACGTCTGCTCCACCCGATGCTAATTAGCACAAGGCAGAGCAGGCTTGATTAATCAAGCCTGCTGGAGGTTGCTAATTAATACTCTCCAGCAGCCTCCGTATCACATGTATTCAGTGTCCCTGTGCTTCAAAATGGCAACAGGGGCACTTAACTAAACCTCATCAAACAAGCACCCCCACTGCCGTTTTCAGGCATAGGACACTGAATACATGTGATGCTGTGGGTGCTTCAATTAGAGTGACTCTCTCAATCTAACTAAAGTGCTCCCCCTCAACCCCACCGCATAGCATGTGTAAAGATGCCCTGGATTCCTGGCTTGAAGGGAAAGTGTCCTAGCTACTCAATTCTTAAGGCTAAAATGTAGAAGCCTTCACCCCCGTGCTTTTTCTGGGACATGTGCGTATACATAGCTGTGTACCTTCCTGGCCCATGTAGTTCAGCCTACGCATGCATACGTACACGTCCACAATACAAAAGTAATAGAATCATGATCTTTGCGCAGGTGTCAAAACTCCACTTTCACAGCTAGAAAACTGCCATTTAGATGCATGCAGTGAAACAGAATTCCACGCTTAGTTTTATTATAGTTTCATAGAAAGTCAATTTCTTGTCTTGTGCACATCTAGAGCATATCAAGTAGCTGCTTTATGCTGTTTCTGTAACTTTTATGATAGAGACTATAAGTGTAAATGACAGATATTTTACCCATTCAAAAAATAATTTCTGAGGCTAAAAATTTGTCTTTATTAAACCATTTTCTTAGTGGTAGCTTGGCCCAAAATATGAAGGGGTTGCTTTTTATTAACAGCAGCAAACCACAAATTATTTTCCTTTACTATAGCTATGCACATTACTTTGGGCACAACCTAGTGAAATGTTATATATTCTGAATCACCATTTTTCAGTATTTTCTCTTATGAGTTAAAATTTGTCAAAATTCTTTGTTAAGAATGAATTAGATGATACAAGTCTCTTTAAAACTCTGCTAGTGTTCACTGTTTGGTTAAAAATGCTTTCTAGTGGGACAGGTGTTCCCATACTGGAAAGGGAATAATTGTTATTAGTATAAAAATGTACACTAGTTTTTCAACTGGCATAACTATTTAAGTAAAAAAGTCATGCCCCTAATCAAAATATTTTGTAGCAGTCTGCAGCTTAACCTGAAACATGTAAGTTCACTAATCTAAAATGTCACTATTAGCTGTTTTCATGAAGTGTCAAGTGGAGTCCCAAACTGGAGAAAAGCTGCTTCCAGAATTAAAAAATAAACATTGAAAAGAAGCTGCACTTAATTATCTATGTTCAATATTTAAAGCCTACATTCCATTTAAATTAGTTAATGGTAGAGTTTTATACAGTTAATTTGGTTCTGTACTGGTACTGGTGGCTGTTGTAAAGAGTGGAAACTCTTGTGACAAATTGTGAGACACTGCTGTTACAAGCGGTCAGTTTTGGATCTAGTCAGCTGGGCTTAGAAGTGCTTGTGAAGTCCTCAAGCTAGATGCTAGCATAGGGGGTCACATTAGCATGGTGAAAGTATTTCTTTTAGCCTTTATGGAATAAAGGTCTCTTTAAAAAAGGGGGATGAGCTCAGAACATGTTACTGATGAAACAAAATGAAGTAAATTCAGATGGCAACAAAAGTCCAAATTTCTAATATGGATGTATTTAAGCCTCATTTATACTAATTTGAGATGAACCATTTTAGTTTATATGGTAGGTCACATTTATGTATATAATTTTTCTACTGGAGTAATGAATAAATTGAGTTTTCATGAAAGTCACATTTCAGCAAAGTTTTGCTTTTAGCAGCCTATTTAGAATGTAAAAAAGTATGATAGTTGAGTGTAGCTTGCTAAGTGTCCTTATATTTGTGCAAAATGAGATGCCTCTCTTTCAAAGAATACACTCTTGGGCTAGAGACATTAATATACTCTGTGCAAGACCAGCTCAGTGGAACCTTCGTTTTGACTGAGGCCCCTAGATGCCACATAATATGAATAATAAATAACAGACCCTAAAAGCTATTTAAAATAGTTAACTGCTTGAATAACTTCTGTTTTTTTCCCTCTTTGATATTAATTTAAGCTTTTCATCTTCTGTTTCAAGGCTTTAAATTATGATATCCTTGTGATATCTGTTTTTCCTTAATACCTTTCATCTTAATTTCTCATGCTGCTAGTCTCTGTGCTTGGAACTCTCTGCATTTGTGTGTTGGTTACAAGCCATTGACTAAATTTCTTCCTGAAACACACTGCATAATCATATCCGCATTGGATCATGAAGTACATTAGAAATTCAGTTTACTCTGATGCCTTCCATGCATGAATTTAATCTTTGCCTGGTCATGTTGAGTATTTTCTAAATACTCAGCATCTAGATAACAGTCCATAGAACAGAGGTGTCAAAGATCCAGCCAAAGGAGCCCTGTTATTCGACCAACTGTGCTGCCTGTGGGTCTCAGAGTTGACTCACTCAGCATGCAGTGCATGCTGGATTGTCCACGCATGCTGTGTGGGGGACTAATCTGGAACATGCTGCTCACCCCCCACCCCCGGCCTAGGCCAGAATGCACACTGAATCCAGGCTGTGTGGACTGGTCCTGCACCTTTCACCCACCCAGTCCATGTTGCTTGAGTTTGACACCCTTGCCCTAGAGCATAGATTACTTTTTTCTTTGGTACACCACTAAGAGTGAGAAATTAGAAATATGTATGAGCAAGGAAATAAAATGAAAAGTAAAAGTTGGCTTTCCTAATTTTATATTGTAAAAATGCACAGTAAAATTCCTTGGATACATTTAAATTTACACAGATTGTGGCCTCAACGCTCTATAACAATCCTATAGTACTTTCTTTTCTAATAGATTTAATATTTTTTCTCCACATGAGTAACTAAGGATGCATAACTATTTTCCTTGCAGTACCTCCAGTGAGGTCCCAGGACCACATTGTGTTAGAGGTTATACAAGTCAATTAGATCATCTCTGTTCTGATGACCTTCAAAGGTGGTGGTGATGATAAGAACAAACAGTAAAAATGTGAAGAAAGGAAGATGTGGCTAAAAATATGAAGATTAGGTCACAAGTTATGTGTTTGGACACAATATGTTTCAAGACATGTGCTACTTTTTACCTTAACAATTCATTGTGGTAGTGGCAGTTGCCCTGTTTGAAATTTTATGGCTTGGCTTTGAAATGTGGACCAGTTTAGATTTCAATTCCTATTAGATGAATAAAAACGTTAATATCTTCCTTAAAAAATCACCTTCATGTCAAATTACTGCAATAATGCCATTTTCTTATAAGAAAAGGAAACTAAATCTGTTCCTTTCCAGACTCCCTTTGGAAGTAGCAGTTTTTGTTTATGGCCCATAGAGATGTGAAGATATGAAAACATTTCATAAATATAACATTTCTAGAGGGATTTATCTTTAATTTCTACCTATTTTACAAAGCCAAGTATTGAAACATAAATCAGTGCAAATTAACAGTATTTTATAGCTAACTAAAATAAACATTTGCTGCTCTTAGGGCATTTTCCTCAAGTTTACCTACTGTGAATGTGCACTTTTAAAATGTTTTAAGTGCCATCTTCAGTCTAAAAGTCAGTATCATTTCAGTTATCTGAACAGATTATAGGTAAAATTATAATGGCTTAATATTACAATATGATCATCTTTTGACTTGTCAGTATTAAAAATTTCTAACTGTGCTGGAGATCATATTTTCTTGGATGTAAATTTATTGAAAATAAAATTATTTCATTTTTCAAAGGTTTGTAAATTTAGATACAATAAGAACTATCGTTGTAAAAATAGTAATAATTATTTTAAGACAAAATATAAACTAATTATTGCACTACCTGAATCTTAAGTTTCCTCCTTAATAGCCTTGTCCATGCACATCCACATTATTAGTGTATGTCTTAAAATGGGAATCACAAAACCAGTTCTTAACAGTAAAGGATATCTCTAAACTAGAGACAAAAAGCAGAATTATATAAAATTCTCTAGTTTGAGCCTTCTAAAATCTAGGCTTTTTGAATTTATGATGTAGGCATCATGCTGTCCTTTTGGATTTAGGTATGTTACCAACCAAAGGAAAGCAGCATATACGTTCGTATTCTCAATAGTCAGTTGTTTTTGTTGGGTTTTTTTATGAGTCTTTTGACCTAAAAATGAAAGGTATATCCTAATCTCAATGTGAAGGAATTTAATGGTATCGAGGACTATGTTATGTCCATGATACAAATCTTTATGATGCAAACAACATGTATAGTTCAGTTAGCTGCATGTTTGTTAGAAACTTATCCCAGGTAAGCTCATTTAATGGGTCATCTTTATTCAGATAGTCAAGGGATAGCCAGAAAAACATAACTAATGTCATCTATTCATATACAGTGTTCAGACTAACAAATGGCTGTCTTTTATAACAGCTAGGAGCCCCAGGCATGGACCAGAACACCATGGTGATTGGTTGTGCTGTGCAATGAATGCAAAAGTATTCTCTTTATCAGTGATCCATGCATTTGCCCATGGAACAGAAAATACTTGGCTAATAACCAGGGACCTTAGTTTTCTCTGATTTAAAAAATCACAAATTTTCTGATGAAAAATCGCAAATTCCATGACAAACCCCCCCCCAAATCCATTATTAAAATTAAAAGCCCCCTGCAGCACTTCCTGCCCTACTCATGCCTCTTGCCCCTACCCGCAGCTCCTGCCCCCTGGTCCTGCAGGAGGGGTCCCCCAGCTGCCAGGGCCCCAAGTCTGCAGATCCTTGCCCCCAACAGCAGGCAGCTGCAGCAGAAGTAGCCTGGAGCCAGCTCCCCCACTGCTCGGATGGGGGCAGGGCCAGCTCCTGGGTCCTCCTAGCCCTGCTGGTGCCTCTAGCCATGACCTGCAACTCCCCAGCCCTGCCAGAGGGGGGCCCCCAGCCCTCTGCAAGCCCCACTTACCTCACAGGCTCCAAGAGAAGAGTCAGGCTAAGCTAAGTGGAGCAGAGCTGTGGCTGTGTGTGTCTCAGGCTCCACCCTCCCCTCCCCCTCTGGGCAGGGCTGGGGTTTCCCACCTTGTTTGCAAACAGCTTTTGCAGGCTGGAGCTCAGCCAGCCTGCATTGCTGTTTGCAAAAGCAGGGAATCTGTGAGTTTCTCTGCTAAAAGGAAAAATCCACCTTTTCTCTGATAAAGGGAAAATCCATGGTTTTCTCTGTTTTTCCATGGGAAACGGAAAACCCGGATCTCTGCTGATAACTAGTCTCTAAATCTCATGCCGTGATTGCATTAGGAAAGGTTTTTTTTGCCAGTATAACTTGGATCCATTTTCTAAATAGAACAGATTGTCTGCTAAAGGACTCTGGGGGTGAAACTTTTATCAGAGTCCTAATCAACATAGCTATGCCAGCAAAATTACCATATTTGCTTGCAGACCATTTGCAGTTTTTCCTCAGAATCAGCCGTCCAGAATTGGTATGCATATCTTAAATAAGGAAGCTGACTTTTCTTTGGGATAGAAACAGGATGGAATAAGGCAAGCAGATGCTGTGATGTGGTGCTGCCAAGATGGCTGCCACTTCTTCCTGTGGCTCC